AAATGGCGCGGGGCCACGCCTCACTTAAAAAATACGCTGTTGCCCTGCCCTCACGCCTAGGTCCAGCTCATTTTCTCTGCCACAGCGGTCCTCAGTTTCCTGGTGAGGCGTTGAATGTGTTCTGTGGTTTCGATGCCATTCTCTGAAACAATGAGAGATGAAACTTCGAATTCCAGAGAGGGAATATAAACAAAGGGAACATCCGAATTGTTCGGAAGTGTTTCCGTGGACCGGGGGCTCGTCACCTCACCAGGGATATACGAAGGCGCTCGGTCGGTCGATATATAGCCACGGATCCAACAAGAGTCATCTACTCGAAGATATTCCACGAATGAGTTAAGCAGCACCCCGGGCTCTCGCCGAAATCTACTACGACGTTTCTTTTCGTACTTCGCCTCTCCACACCTCGGTCGTCTTGGTCCGAGTCACTCGCGAACGGACCTGTGTCATTATCGGTGTCATAGGACTTTTTGCTTGATTAGATCGCTTTTCCTCCTCTCCCGAAATGGACTCTATTAACATTTCGAGAAGGGCGTAGCCAAGGGTGTTGAACCCGGATTCAAACCACCGGAGCATTCAGTGGTAATCAGCGACATTCTCGGTAATGAAGAATATTCTCACTCGGACTCTGAGTCCTTCCTCTACGACGTCGTACTCGAATCCGGTCCAGAGGAGAAGAGAGGAAGGAGGAACATTTGACAAGGGTTTCGAATTCACGGTCTTTCCGCCAGTCTGAAAATGAGAGTCTGGTCGAACGAGAGCGTGACGCTCTAACAGTAGCTGAAGAAGATTTACCTCCAGCTCAGGGTCTATGGCGAAGTTTTGGAACTATTTAAGAACACAACCAAAGCGAGCAAGACGAGCGAATAGGAGACGAAGCAGGAGGAGGAGGAGGCAAGCAAAGCTAATTATTTGGAGCGGCGGCTGCTGGCCATGGGAAGGAACGAGCAAAGAAAAGGAGGTCTTTGAAGCGAGAAATAGAATCTTAAATCCGCTGTGCGGCAGGTCATCTTCTCTCCGGGGCTTCCGTCTTTCGGCGGTACGGGAGGAAGAAGAAGACGGCGACGACGACAGGGAAACGTCATCGATTTTCGAGGAATTTTGTAATGGGACACCTTTAAACTCTTCTGCAGGTATCCCGACGGAGGTAGCGAGCGCCAATTAAGAGACAGACGCATTCCAGAACGACGGGTGCAAGAGAAAGAGGCGCGGAAGCTTAACAGTCCAACAGCCTATGGGATCCTTGGGGGGGAAGGGGACGGGGAGAAGACGAAGCGAGGGCGCTCTGGTAATGATCAGAAAAATTCCTCTCGACGAGGGGGAGCGGACTAGCGCTTGTTTTTACTTTGGTCGTAGTTTCTCTTCCATTCGACCGAATGCAACAATTAAACTTGCAAGCGGAGGCCAACGGGAGGACGGACATGAGGCCTCCCAACTGAGATATGTATGTACATATGTATCTCCCCTACCATCTATTAAAGCGGCTAATGGCTTCACGGTGCTCCAGTTCCATTCGGTAATGGTTCCATCAGTTGTCCGAATTTCGCCGTGTATCGTTTTCTTCCGTTTTCTTTCCGCGTTCTCTATCAAGCCATAATGAATATCGCTCTCAGCCATGTGGAAATGTCGCTGCTACCTTTCGGGAGCGGAGCGACCTGTGGACAAAGAACGGGAGGGAAGAGTTGGCTCGGAGCCCGGCCGGAGGGATTCGCTCGCGGAGCCAGCGAGTCCCATCGCAGCTCCGTGACCTCTAATCGTTTCCTGGGGCTTTGATTCACCCGGGATATTTTTGGGACTTCTCGATGCCCTTTGCTCGGAAGCAGCACACAAAGCTCGCGTATGTTCATTCGAATCTTGCCGTCTCCGATTCAACAAACCCGCCGGTTGAACTCGCTCAGCGAAACGTTGCATTCCGTGAAGCGCTCTCGGGGCGCATCGATAGATCAGCTGCATAGGATTCTCGCTGCTACCTGTTTGTGCCCGGTATTCATGGTTCCTTCATGGGCTAAGAGCGTTTTTACAGTCACTGACAGAGAGTAATGCAGTTCGTAGTCCATCTGCGCTCTACCCCAGATCTGTTCGTCCTATCGTTCGGCGTAGCTTGGCTATGTTAGCTCGTCGTTGGTAACAGATATCGAAAAGGGAATCCAGAGAATCGAACGAACATCGGGAGAGCCGTAGCGAGCCTGGGAGGGGAATAACGTCAGACATGACTAATCAATGAGTCCAAGCAACACCGTAGACATCCGAACAACAGCTTCTTACTCTTCTCCATCCCCTGCCCTACTCCTCCCGCTGCGCGTCCTCTTCGAGAAGGAAGAGGAACACGGGAGAAGGAACAACTCTTGAGGTAGAACTGAGAGAGAACACCGACAACCAAAGAGAACAAGGTAAAACAGCCATCCCCTGCCCCGGAGCTCCGACGATCTAACTTTTTTTCCCGAGCGGGATTCGGAGTAGTGAAGACGCAATCCGTCTTGTGGACGACTGATCGAATTTTTTCGAAGCAATCGAGAATCTTGCGCCCCCCGTCCCCTCCGAGAACAGCTCACGTGCTCGCAGTAGATCTGGGCAAAGTATGCCCAGGGATCGACTGAAATTCGGACGTTTTGTCTCGAGACGAAGAGAAGCCGCCGAGGACAACCGACAAGCATTGAGGGCGGGGCCGGTGATTCCGCCATTATGAATTTTCCCACTGAAAAGCTTCGTCCACACCCTCGACGAATAATACCGCGAGAAACTCCGTCGACCGGCGCCGCCGTATCAATTCCATGGAGGACCGACGAGACGCGCCCGACGGAAACCTCACCTGTGTGTTGATTCGGTAACGTGATTGGGCCGAAGCCGCGAGTCGGTACTACGTGGCAGCTGATCACAGCGGAACGAAAGCGGGAAAGTAGTGCAGGACGATAAAGGGGGAGCGACGGCGGGTCATTGTAGTATTCGGTTCTGCCTTCTCCTCAGTTCAGGAGTTTCCTTTTCATCGCATCGGAATTGGATTAGCCACGGCAGCAGAGACGGCTGAGGAGGTGGCGGCAGCAGCAGCCGCAGCCACCGTACGAACGGCATCGGAAAAAGAGAAGACGAGGCAGAAGGAAACACGGAATCTACGAGACGGATCAGGGAAGAAGGAATCAAATGGAACAAGTTGCAGGAAACTCGGCCAAACCTGTTACGAGTCAGTGTGTTGCACCCTTTCGTTTCACTTCACCTGATGACAGGGAAACTCTGGTCTCCCCCCCCCCTCCCCTCTTGGTTCACTTGTCTTGCTTCCGAGATCCCTCCTCGACCCTGTTCTCGAGACATTCGAGGGCCTCCTGTCCCTGTGACGTCGTTAGACGATCGAGCGTCCGCGCAACAACGACAACATGGGATGAACACAAGCTCTTGTTCCTTGCATCGGGAGCACGCGGGGGCTGTCCCGTTCGGCTTGTTCATTCTTTGTCTGTCCATCCGACATCGTTTAATCTGATTGTTTGTTTAGAATAATATCAATCTTGACTTAAAGATGTCGTCGCTGCGGTAATCGAGTTTGCGGTTGTAGCGGAGACGGTGGTGGCTGCTGCATGCATGCATCAGTAGACAGTCAGCCCAGCGGGTCGTGCGGGAGCGGCAGACAACTAGACGGGCGAGCGAGCAGATGAACGAAGTCAAAGTTATTATCCCGAGCTTATATCGCTCATGATCGTGTCTCCGGAGTACCTCAGATGCTTGCATCCTCTCGAGATATCCGATGAATCTGTGTGAGTTCGGTAGTCGATGCATTCCTTGCCCTCATCTCCATCCGGAATCTCGCCAGAGACCTATGTTCCTGATTTGCATAGAATTGCGCAAGACGCTCGAGGTTTTGTCGATTAGTTCGTCATCAGCCGCATTTCTCGTCTTATTGCGATTACTGGCATCAGCAGCGACCTGTCAAGACGGTAGAGACCTCATGAGATATGGAAGACATTTCAACCTCCCGGAAGCGTCAATTGCAGGGGTACTTTCCTAAATATTTGCTCGTTTTACAATCCAGCATTTTATATGCGTCCGGCGCAACTGACCAGCAAACAGAGCAGGCGGTCGGCCGACAGGTAGGAGCTACATTACTGTTGTAAACACTCTCTGCTCCACGGTCACACGCCTACCAACAAAGTCCACAAATACCTACACCTACAGGAGGCGTTTACGACCTCCCCGAGTCCGAGATCGAAGTTGAACATCTGTAGAATCATGAAAGCCGATAACTTACTCGGCGTTTGAAGGAAAAGACACAGAAGGGTTTCGTGGGCGAACGAATGCTTCGCTCATCCCCCACTGTTTGATTGCGACGATACTCCTCTCGCGGAAAATCGCGAGAATTCCACACTTTCAGGAGACTCATATCTAATGCGTATAATCATGATGCGCAATTAATTTAATTATTGGTCCAGTAATTACTAGTTTGACGCATCGGTCTCCCGGGATAGGAGGATAGCGGCCTGAAGGGTTTCCCGCTCTGATTTTTGGATTCTCCAAGTTCTTCCGATCCGCAACCTTCTGCGGGAGAGGGTCAATGGACATTCTCCCCCGTCTCTGAGCCAGTCAGAAGCGATTTCGCAATTCCAATCCATAAAGTCATCTCTTAACGAAAACGGCTCGACGATGATGAGCGATGAATGATTTGTTGCCGAGACGGCTCTGCTGTTCATCACCACGAGGGGGAATCCGAAGCGTAAACATGAGCGGCTGCGTCAATTTGGGCCCTCCGAAACTCGGTAGTTAGGGATTGACTTCATAATTGAGCACGACAACAAATGAATGGCCATGGGCATTTGGGGTGATTCGGGGTTGAACGACGACCCACCGGCTGACAGAGCAAAACCACACTGTTGGATTCCTGTGGAGAAGCGTGCAGTGTTCGAGGGCGATACGGGGAGAAGGTTGCACCGCTTCCGCGATTAATAGAGTCCGGCAGAGATCGCGACGACGTCAAGGCTGGTCCGATTATTTATCAATCGAAGGATGGCGTTGCTACGATGTGGTTCCACGGCCGTTGTGCTTGTTGTTGTTTTTTGTTGAAAAATACCTGCGAGGGCTTCCTCATCCCGCCGGGTCATATGGAAATGACCCTCTTGGGCGCGAATTTAGATCCCACGAAAATGATGGCCGGAGATGCCTCCGCTTTCCAACTCGTGGTCCCGCGGCAGGAGCTCCGCGACCAGAACCACTGTGAACCGTACGAGTCGATGGTGATCGAGGACGACGACTGCCACATTTATTGTGAAGTCAATGGGACGATAGGCAAGCTCGAAATTCGGGACCCTGGACGGCGAACTCTCGCCGCGTGTAAAACTGTGAATAACGGTTGCACTACCTGCATGAGACAAATCGGTGAGGGTGATTCAACGAAAATTTTCGGTAGGTGCGGCCCCAGCTGCACGTGTGAACCGCTGAGCAGCTACATGAACTACTTGCAAGATAAGCGGGAGTGCGCGAAAATTCAGAACCACACGAACTTCGACGCGTTGGCGAGGAAGCCGCTCAACAACCCTCTCGAGAGCCCTCGCTTCCAAGTGATTATACCCGCCATCGGTAACCGAGACAAGAAGAACTGTGAAGTTTATGAAAAGGTCATGAGCCGAGAGGAACTCGAGAGAACCGGCCAATGCAGGTGAGACGAATCAAACTCTCCTACCATCTGCTTGCCTGGAAGAAAACTTCCGAAATTTATCGATCGCGACAGGATCGGACCCATCGCTCAGAAATGCCGCGTTTACTTTACAGACAGATGTGCAGAGTCGAAGGCTGGTTCGGAATTATCAGAATCGAGGGGAGTGCCCGAGTAATTGATGCTTTGCCTCCTCGTTTCCCGAAAACCTGCCAAATCCCCATAATTCACGCGAGCTCAATGCTACTGCCAGATTTTTCCGTCGCGTCAACCCTCGGAGTTTGTGATCACGATGGAAACTGTGTCAAAGACGACACCGCCTACTAGTTGTTCAATAAACGAGGGCGAAGTGTGACAACGCGCTGAGCTCGATTTTTCCATAGATTCTCCGATTGATTTATTCCGTGAAACGCCCCGTTCGAACAGAGACACGCTCTAATTGTTTTGGGATTCGTCGCTACTTACACGATCGGTTGGACGCAGCGATTGGATCAGATGGGCGGACAGGGCGGAAGAGAACGCTTTGACGGAGACGGGAACAAACGATTCGATTTTGAGACGGAGTCATCAGAGGCCGTATCAGCGCTTCCGTTCCTTGAAATCCACAAGTAATTGCCGGCCAAAGACCGGCAGCAATAAGACGACTCGCATTAAGTTACGCGATGTTCCGACCTCTAAGACGGGAAAGTCGTTTGCACCCGGAGACTCGTGGCATGAGGAAATAATTGACAATCTATTAGCCCTCATTAACATTGGCCGGACAGATTAGCGCAAGGCGAGGCGAAGCGCGCAGCAGACGCCAGTCAGTGAGCCAGCCAGCCGGCTGGGTCGGTCGGGCTCTCACCACAGGTTGGGTTGTGGCTTCTTGGAAACCGTGCGGAATACAAAACTCGTCGCTCCACGTCGATAGCCCTCCACAGGATCTTGACGTCGGAAGCATCCGCATGAGAGAATCGACGCGGAGGGTGGGGGGCGCTTTGTCTTCGGGGCATATTGCGAGCCGAAAGCGACATTTCCTCATGCTCTATTGAGGGGGGACCTGAATAAGTCTTCAGGAGCAAGGATTCGCGCGAAACCAGAGGAGTCGAGGCACTATATCCGAAGCCGATTCGCCTCGCTGATGAAGTCGCTCACTGCTTCAAACTCAGTGCTCACACAGCTCCGCCATCATACATCCATCTATCTATCCATCCATCCCTGAATCCATTCTTCCAGTCTGCTAATAAGAAAGAAGGAACGATCTGCACGAATATTCCGAGCTCCTGTTGGCGAAAGTTGATCAACTGTAATGTTTCCTGCGTCGACCGGGCTCCAATTAGGAGTTCGTCGGAATCACAGGTTACTCAACAGAAGCTAACGACACCTCCGCCGGAGCCATCGATCAGCCGGCTCCATTATTGTTTCTTTCCCCCATTCAGATCGCTAACTATTAATGATATCCAGAAATTCAGACCACAAGCGAGCTCAGCGAGCGGGCAAGTGTCTATTCTGCCATCCATGCCGTGTTAATTATCCGCCGTGCCCAAATTAACCGGAGCGTGCGAATCCATGCTCTGTACGCAGGCTCCGAGGGACGAAAAGTAAGGATAAGGGAAACCCAGGGTATCTATTCAGCTGATTTAATGGTCTCGTGAACATTCATTCGAGACGGCTGACTCTCTTCCATTCGAGATCTTTGCAGGTATGAAGGATGTGAGGAAAAAGAAGCGTCGAATCCTTCAGCGGTAAGCGAGGAACAACGGACCGATTCACGAGTGGGGCAGATATGGGGTAGGTATGTGATGCGGACGATGAAGGAAATGAGGATAGTCTCCGGATTTCTGTCCCGTCGGGGGATCGGATTTTCGGCGGAAAAATCCGACGATACCCGAGACTGGTCCCATCTCACATCCATCGAGCAAATCTGGCCTCGTAATAAAAACATATGCTCGATGAGCATATCCCCTCCGCGAAACTCTGCTCCCTTTTAGTTTCGACGATTCCCTCTAGGAAAATTCGTCGAGAGTCCGCAAACATTAAGGAAATCCGTCTCAACAAGTCGGCGGTGTTCTTCGCGCACTCTTCCAAGACTATTCCAAATGAATGAGGGGAGATCTCCACTCGAGGGCCGAGGGAAGAGAGTAGGGAAGCGGGGAGAATCTCGTTGTGCGGTATGTATCCGTTCGTGAAAAAAGCGGAATAATTCTGACTGAGTTCTCTCCGTCAGCCGGTAATGAGAGTATGTTCATGTAAATGAGCTCTCCTACAAAACCCCGAGCATAAAAGAGCTGTATGTGATACAAGTGGTGGACGAACGGACGCTTTGATTTAAGCATGGTTATCTCCCGTTCGCACTGGTTGGTTGGCTGGCTGGCTCGCTTGTTCGCTCTGGTGGGAGAAACCTCCTTCGTACAGAGCACTCTTTAGCTGGGAACATTTTGCTCCGCTCATAGTGCATATACATACAGACTGTGCGGAGCTAGGCCGCGGCGATTGAGCTCGGGAAACGAGAGAAACTCTTTCCGCTCTAAATGCTAAGCAGAGACTCGGAGTTTTTCCGTTTGTACCGAATTTCTCGTTCCAAGGTGCTTGACCGCCACAAATGTTCCTGCCGAGGGCTCCGATAGGCGGCTTAGCGAGGGAATGAAGGCCGATCGACCTCCACTGCACGGATTCAATCTGAGCGCTGCTTCGAGCTGAAAAATTTCCTCGGACGCAGATCACGATGAAGAGTCGACATCGGTCCACGATGCATCCGTAAGTAGGTAACTCGATCCGTCCGTGAGTCTTCGGTCACAGAGCTAGGAGCGGATGGAGGATTTCGATTGCAGATCAGCAACAACAAGGCAGCTTCGTCCGCAGCGGATTAATTCGGGCCCACGACCTTCTGAATCAGCTCCACGGAGCGTTTTGCGGTTCCGGCCGCCGTCGGGTTCGGAGTGATCTACCCAGACCCGCTGCCTCAATCGCTCTCGGCCGGAACGTGTCGTCTCTATGTGAGTGAGGAATCGATCCCGGGAAAAGGGCCGACAGGCTCCTCATGAGATTCCCGCGCGCGATCCGAAGCCAAAAACTACGTGGTCCTCGATAGGGGGGACGGGCAGCGTGGTATTCCTTATTTCGTAGCGACGGGAGGCGATGGAAAGGTCGGAATCCGTCCTGTATTGAGATTTCTTTCGTTCTGTTTCCTTCCATCGGCCAGCCCTGCGTTCATTCGTTTGACCTATTTTGCCTTTCTCGCTGTGAGCGGTAATCGTCCCTTTGGCTCAGTCAAAACGGTTCGCAGACGTATCAAGCGGGCTCAGGACAACCAGTTCCATTTGAAGCCAATTTGTCGTTTTGTGATTCCGCTATAAATCCCTATCCTCATCAACAGATCTTGTCATAGCGGTGCCGGGACCGTGGTTCCAGGATCCGTGTGTCGGCCTTCGTTATGAAGATAAAAGCGCCAATTGTTCGTCGTTTAGCGTCTCGTCCTGTTATCGCGCGACGACAAGGGAGAAGGACGAGCGGGAAGAGGAGTCAGCTCCTGACGTGGAGGAGGCCGAGTGTTTCCGTTGAAGCAGAGAAAACTCGTGATCCTTGACGGTGATCCTCAAATGATCGTCTGTGAAAGGAAGCTTTCTTGCTTTCTCTCACGCTTCAGCTAACAAGTCTCCTGAGGACGGTGCGGAACAAAACAGAGCAAAGCGCCATCGGGGGGCACGTGGGTCGACGAACGAAAGAATCAGGGCTTGGGTGGGGCTGTCGGACGGACGGATATGGAATTGTAGACATCAAATAAAAGACACCACAGGGAAAGCCTCCTTTCGCGCTCCTTGAGATTCCTCGGCTCCTTCCACTCGCTGATGACTGGCTGGTCCGGGCGAGGATTTCGTGGAAGTAGAAGCAACCGGCCGAACTCCAGTCAGATTGACTGCAAGCCGGCCGCTCCGCTTGCCCTCCCGTTCGCCCAGCACCATAGGTAGGAGAGAACGCGAGTTACCAGGTTCTATTCTACTGGTGGAAGATGTTGATACTCTACGCTAGACGACGCCCAAGGGAAGCTTAACGAGTTCTGTGCCGCTGCTGCTGCCATCGCCGCTACTGCTTGAAGAGCAGTTCTCCACCGCTTCGAATCAGAATGCAAATAGACTTCGACGAAGGCGTTCGTGCTACAACACGCGTCAATCTTCCGCGGGAAAAATAGGGAAGACCGGGCCGAAAGAAGAAGGAGGGGCCGGCCGGCCGGCCAGGAAAAACGGGGATTGAAACTCTGCTCCAAGTATCCTCGGCGAAACTTCCTTCGCGGTATATTCTCCAGTCCGGACATTCCTCCTCCATTCGATTTTTCCTCGTATCTTTTCCCTCTCTTCCCCTCGTAAGTCTGTCGGATGATCAGTCTCTCCATGTATTCGATGATCAGTCTGTTGAACAGAAGCGAGAGCGTTCATGGCGGTCTGAAATCTGAAATTCTTGGGGAACGATTTACTTGAGATTTGTGCGGTGCCGATCTCCTTGAAACACCCTGGGAGCGCTCTGTCGTTGGTCGCACGGAGAGAAAGTCCGGTCAGAAATGTGGGAGTGGACGGAATTTCAATTTTTTTCCAAGTACGTCAGAGAATAAGGACTCGAGAATCCATTCGACTCGCTACGTTTCGTTCCCCCCCCCCCTCTGAACGGTCGACTCGCCGCTGGTAGTGGTCAAAGACAAGTGCAGTTGCGGCTCCAGTTGCTCCGGGGGTCAGCGGGCCTCGAATTAAATGATCCAAATCTAGTGTGGCTGTAACACGAGTCGGATTCTCTTGAAAGTCATGTCCGTCTCCGTCCCCTTATTCCGAAACGGCCACCAACTCAGCCACCGGAACGAGTTCGTGGTTTGTTGATAGCGTTCGCCCTCGTTCCCGGCCACGTTTGGACAGTCCATACCCCTCGACTACCTCCAGTTCTCTCATCATCTGCTTGCTCTCCCCGACGAATGCAATTCACTTTCCCGCTCGCATTGGATATTATGTCGATCCACAATCGTGTGCTCAGTCTGCACAACTCAAGTCTCTCTCCATTGGATTATCGCATGCCCCGATTTTTCGTCCACTGTCGTCCTGGGACTCTTGGAGATTCTTCGGGATGACTCTCGATGCGCCGAAGTTAATCGTTCCAGGTTCCTTATGCTTACAGGTTTCGGAAAGGGAATTTCCCCAGTTTGTCCGATACTCACAGATTTACTCATTTCCTAGTGAATTCCGCTCGTTGCTGATACGCAGCAAAAAACCAAAGCAGCGGAACCTCCGAGGGCACTCGTTCAAACGTCCGCTGGGGTTCCCATCGGAGTTCCTGTCGAGGTTCCTAAAGCGAGCAATAGTCTGCTC